CTGCAGGGTGGATATCAAGGAAATAGCAGTAGCTCAGTCTTACAGGTGACACCTGGCCACCAGTAAATGTCATCGACACTGTCCACAACTACCACATACTAGAACTTTGTGTGATATCCTATCCCCAAACAGAAGTGCTGGAGAATATTGTACATCATATATTGATAAGGGAGTTGCATATAGTAGATAGGAAGAATTCTTATAACTCAACAATAAAAAAGTAACTCCACTTTTAAAAATGGGTAAAGGACTTGGACAGACATATTTGCATTTGCAGAGACAAAAAAGATATATAAATGGTCAAAAAGCACATAAAAAATATGTATCATTTATTATTTGGGGAAACAACCCAGAAATACTATGAAATAGCACATCACACCCACTAAGATAACTAGAATCAAGGTAACAGACAATAACAAGTGTTGACAAAGATGTGGAGAATAGAAGTCTTCATACATTGCTGGTGGGAAAGTAAAATGGTGTACCTGCTTTGGAAGGCAGCTTGGCGGTTCTTGAAAGTGCTTAACATGGAAGTACCATCTGACCTAGTAGCTGCTCTTCTACATATATATATGGAGGAGTGAATAAAAACATCTATATAAGAATTTATATACAAACGTTTACAGTGGTATATTCAAAATAGTTCAAAGTTGAAAACATCCCAGATGGCCACCAATGGATGATTGGATCAGTAAAATATCATATATTTATTCAATAGAATATAATCATTCAGTTATAAAAATGAATGCAATTCTGACACCTGCTATCACATTGGTGAATCTTGAATTGATATTTTTTTTCTGAGTAGAGGAAACCAAGTATGATGGCCACATATTGTATAATTCCATTTATATAAAATGTGTAGGATAGGTAAATGCATAGGGACAGGAACTAGATTACTGGTTACAGGATCTGGGGCAAGGCAAGAATATGGGTGTGCAGTTCCAATAAAACAATTATTAAATAGTAAAATGACTTCCGTTTTTAAGCAGCTATTTTTCATGTGCTATGAATAACAAATTAAAAGGGAAAGAGTAAATTCACAGTAAAATAGGGAAGGAAGAGAGAAACCTTCGCCTCCAGACACCAGTACATAGCGTAGAATTGCAGAGCTGAGGGTGTGGAGACACTGGGGAGACAGACCCGAGGATGTACAGTCTAGAAAGAGACATAGACATTTTAGGAAAGCGATATAGAGGGCAGTAAAAATAGTGCTCCTTGTCAGCGGGGAAAAGGTAAATTACTGTGAAATGTTGGTATTCAACACCTGCCTGGCTTTATCAGCTGGCATTTTGAGTTGAAAATAACAGAAGTTGAGCTTGGCAATTTTAAGCAGCAGAAAAATTTTCAGGAAAGCAGTTAAGTAATTCAGTTGATGGGAAGCCAACCTCAGGTGAAAGAACGAAAGGACACTAAGGAGCTGGGAACGTAGCTTCTGTTGTGCCACAGGAATATGGTGGCGAGGGTGCTCATATTCTGCTGATGCTTCTTGGGACATGGTCTCATTACTGTTGCTGTGACTAAGTCCTAGCAGTCTCTGTGTTTCTGTCACTCCTGCTGTGTTGAGACCTGATCCAAGGCCGTGCTCTGGTTATAGGCCTGCACCCAGGAGGCCTGCACACCTTCAGCTACTGTGGTGGGAGGTAAAGCCCTATCGCATCTCCCCAGGTAGGGAGGTATCCAAATGGAGGGAAGCCAAAGCAACAGATTTCCACTAACATTTGGAAAGACTAAAATTAGAACCATACTTTATATCCTAGACCAAAATAAATTCCACATGGATTCAGAATTTAAATGTAAAACTTGAGATCATAAAAGTACGTAAAGAAACTACATATGAATATTGATGCAGTCTTGGATTAGAAAAGTTGCTAAGTGTCAGAAGGCTATTACAAATATTGATGGATTATGCACTACATGTATGTACTAATAAAAGAAATACTGCTTGAAAATATGAACCATAAAGGGACTCATAAAGACAAACATATACATAAAATTTTTAAAATGTCATTTTTTTACTTTTACTTTTTAAAGAAAAGATTGCAATGTATTAATTATTGAAACTGTCCTACTAATCAGCTTGGTATTAATTTTATTGAGGAACAGCAATGAGACAGCCTCAAAACAGGTTAGTAGGACATTTACAATAATTATTATACTGTATATTGTCTTCGTAGTAGTTATTCATAGGAAAGAGGCCTGTACTTCAGTCTGATAAAAGCTATCTGTTACAACCCAACAGCTAACATAATTCTAAATGAGGAAAAACTGAAATCTTTTACTTTCAGATCTGGTACAAGACAAGGAGGTCCTCTATCACCACTCCTATTCAATATGGTTCTGGAATCATTAGCTAGCGCCATTAGACAAGAGAGAGAAATGAAAGGAATAAGAATAGGTAAAGAAGAAGTTAAACTATGATTATTTTCAGATGGCATAATACTTTACTTGGAAGACCCAAAAATCTCCACCAAGAAGCTACTAGAATTAATACAGAAATTCAGTAGCATAGCAGGTTATAAAGTCAATACCCAAAAGTCAATAGCATTCCTCTACACAGACAACAAACACACTGAAAGGGAAATTATAGAAACAATACCTTTTACAATAGCACCGAGGAAAATGAAATACCTTGGAATTAACCTAACTAAAGAAGTAAAAGATCTTTTCAAGGAAAATTACAGTACTCTGAAAAAAAGAGATCATAGAGGATTTCAGAAAATGGAAAGATATCCCATGCTCCTGGATAGGAAGAATCAACATTGTGAAGATGGCCATAGTCCCAAAATTGTTGTACAGATTTAGTGTTTTCTCTCTAAATGGAAGGGTTTTTTTTTTCCACAAAAAGTTGTTCCTTCTTAAATGTAAGAGATGTAGTTGGTTGGTTTGTGAGTAGTATCTGGGTCTCCAGGAGTAAATTTTATGCTAAACTCTGCAGAAGTGAAAATAAATGTACAAATGAGACAATGCTATGTAAAAATAATGTTAAGGCAGCTATTAGAACTTGCTACATCTTGTGATGTTTGAAGAAAGAATTAAATGGGGCTAGGGAGATAGCTTAGTAGAATAAGTGCTTGCCTGGCAAGTGCAGGGTCCTGAGTTCAGTCCCTGGTTCTGGAAAAAAAATAAATAAATGGTTGATGATGACTGTACAAATCCCCCCATATTGTGATACTTTTCTTAAATATGTCCCCATACCATGCTTTTGGTTTGGGTTTGATATATTTTGTCTTGTTTTTAAGAGAACCCCTCTTGATTAGGAACTCATTAACTAGTATTTAGGGTATTGGCTTTTAAGTAGAGCCAGATATAGAGACTCTGGAGATTTTATCATGGTCTGTATTTACCACTTTCCACCCTTTCCTACAAAATATGAGTTCCCACAGTATTTTCTGTTCTACTAGCCATAGATCTGTGTTTCTATTCCCTCTTAGCTGGGATTCCTGCCTTAGTAAAGGATATTCCATACCTGTTTGGCATAAAAACAGAGAGGGCCCTTTTCATCTAAAAATGACTTGCCTGCATGAAAGGACAAAATCCTCGTGGGCGCCTTACTGATAAAAGATGAAGGAAACCCTTCATGTTCCTGAAAATCTGATCACTGCACAGTCTAGAAACAGCCCAAGGGATCTGGAGACAGCAAACAATTTAAAAATGACCACTGATTCCCATTCTTGCCACTCGGTTACTTTTCTTGTTGAAAAAGAAATCTGGCTTTGAATTTCTTTTACTCAATGTTGTGACTTTCAAGAAATTGTTTTGGGGCCATCTTACTCAGTAGAATAAGTGCTTCCCTGGCAAGCGCAAGGGCCTGAGTTCAATCCCCAGTTCCATTAAAACAAAAAAAAAAAGAAAGAAAGAAAGAAAGAAAGAAAGAAAGAAAGAAAGAAAGAAAGAGAAATTGTTATGCTCTAAGAGGTCTTCAAATGGGGAAAAAATGCCTTGTCCTATGAGCATTTCCTTAGGGGACTCATTGAGCATTTCTGTCATGTTGCTTGGTCACGAACAGCATGACTCTGAACTTCAGTGTCACAAAGTCCCTGTCTTCATACTTGGTGTTAATAAGGGAACCCCACTTCTCCAGGCCACTTACACTGGTATGCAACTGTGTTTGGTATTCGACAGCATAACAATACAGTTTTTACCTATTATTTTGCAAGATGTATGAGATAGATAGATAGATAGATAGATAGATAGATAGATAGATAGATAGATAGATAGGGCAACCTATTTCATGTGAACTTTTGTAGCTTATGGTTATTTTCATTTTGGTTTTTTCTTTTTTGTTTGTATTTTAGGGAAGGGAAGGGTCTACAGGGTGCTCAGGGTCTCACTACTAGATTGGACTCGTAGTGATTCTCCTGTTTACAGCCTCCCAAGAGCTGGGATTACAGGTGCGCACCACCACACCCAGTCTCAATTGCTATCTCAGTGCATGCCCACGGGCGAAGCCAGCACGGTAGGCCCAGAGATGGAACCCTCGGCCCCTGCACCTGCTTGCAGCCACTTTAATCCACTGAGCTATTTGGCCAGCCTGTAGCTCATGTCTTTTATTTCTGTTCTTTGTCATCTTAAATTTATTTCTGTTAACAGCTGGATGCACATATGGTAGTTTCTAGATGAGGAAAGAATGATGGTCCTTTTCTCTGGTAGACATTTGGAAGAATTCCCCTTACCCTGGTTTCTTGGCATCTGCAAATGAGTTTCTGCTAAGAAGTTGGTCAGTCGGGGAACCTGGTGGCACTGTGGTGCATGCCATGCAGTCCGCAGTGGCGGTAGTGGGCAAGAGGCACGTGCTGCTTTAGCGAGGCAAGGTCCCTTCCTCCAGCACCCAGCTCCTGTGGACGAGGAGGTGCGTGTGCAGTGACTGCAGGGAGGGGCGAGCCAGGCAGGCTCTGCTGTGCACAACAGCGCCCGTGGAGTCTCCTCCTTCCCGCCTAGCAGCCCTCAGTCGTGTCGGGTTGAGCAAGCCTCACACAAGTGTTTTTCTTGCTTTCTAGGAGCGGCCTACTGCCAGTTCATGGACATGCTCTTTCCAGGCTGCATTAGTTTGAAGAAAGTAAAATTTCAAGCAAAGTTGGAGCATGAGTATATTCACAATTTTAAACTTCTGCAAGCATCATTTAAGCGAATGAACGTCGATAAGGTAGGAGACCGTTTGTACTGCCCTAAAATGCATCCTTTCATTAAAAGTGTTTTCACACAGAATGCAGAAAGCTTAGGAACCTAACAGCAGAGCATTTGTTGATAGCACAACAAGTTGGGATCTATACGCAGCATAAAGCATCAGCCCTATTTCCCATACTTGTATGTGTCTAAACTTATAGCCATTAGACTGAAAACTGTAACAGGAATCACAAATGTGAAAATGTTGTAGTGTTTTAGCATTGCAGATGAGAAATTTTTATGTTTTCCAGATGCTTCTGTACTTCCTTGTGTATTTTGTTTGTTTGGAAAAGTAACACATTATAATGGGAATAGTATCAGTTTGAATCCCGCGACTTCAGCAAGTTACTTAAAATCCGTGAATCTAAGCCCACCCATGTGTAAATCTGGGCCAGACACCTCTTACCTATGGTTATGAAGCTGAAGTAAGGGAACACATGTGAAAGTGCCCGGGATAGCCCATGTCCTCACATCCTCAGTGTCCCTGTATTCTCCCCTTCTCCCCTGTGAATTATTATGATTTTGTGCTAGGATGATACAATGGGGTTAGATACTAGAATCCTTTTCCTCTCCCCACGAAGAACTATTGCTTAAATCCACTTAGTCTCTTTCTGTATGTTTACTGCTATTAAAATGCATACTTATATTTCTCATTTATGATATATCTTAGAATGATTAAACTTGGAAAAAGTGAATTGTTTGTTTTGTTTTTTATTTATTTGAGACAGGGTCTTGCAATGTAGCCCAGGCCAGCCTCAAATTCAAAGCTATCCTCCTGCCTTAGCCTTAGAGGTTATAGCTATGTGCCACCATACCTGACTAAGAAATGAATTTTGAATAATGAAAATTTTTATTTGAATTAATAGAAGTAATAAACAAGCCATATCAATAGAAAATGAATACTGGATTATAAGAGATTGAGTTAAGTTTAAGAGTTTAATAAATTATATATTTTTAAAAACTTAACACAAATGTTTTTGTTTTGTTTTGTTTTGTTTTTTTGTGGTACCGGTGATTGAACTCAGGACCTTCTGCTTGGCAGGCAAGCACTTATTCTACTGAGCTATCTCCCCAGCCCAAGTATTCTTAAATAAAAACATTGCTGTCAAACTAGTAAGAAAATCCAGCTTCTCATTTTCTCAAAATTTTTATTTTCAAAATATATATTATCTTTAACATTTTAACCTTTCACTCCTTTTCAACTTACTTTGTGTCTTTTTTCTCTGGGTAATTAGGTCTCCCTCTATATTTTCAGCTGCAGAACTATACAGGTTCTCCTTGCTTTAATAAGTTAAAAATTCCACTTGTGTCTTCTTTGTTTATTTTTCTATTCATAATTCTACAATAAGAAGAAACACATGTTCATAGATTTATTAATAGAATTTGTTATATATCAAATTAATGGGCTTCATGTTTCTAGAAGTGAGCACGTAAAGAATGGAGAAGTTGTTAACATTCAAGGAAGTTCTTGCAGTTGGCCTGGCCTTTATGGCCTTTGTGAGCCTCTGTAGCTTTACTAAGCCGTGTTTGTACCCAGCAGTCCTGTGAGAGACGGTGTTGTTGTCCATTAGGTCTGTCATAGCCCCACTCTCAGAAGGCTTTGTGCAGAGTTTTGCTTGCCTTTGACGATTTTGAACATATGCTCCTAAAAGTTTCGTTTGGATAGAATGCAAGAATTTTGACAGAATTTTGACATTTTGCATTTAGATAGAATGCAGGTCAGCATAAGCAAGAACCTTATTTTAACTGGTAAGGGACCGCCATTATCTAAAACTATAAATTCTCCCAGTCTGGCAGTAGACAAGGTACAGTACTGCGTGTTCCGTGAAGGGCCATATTCTTTGAAAGGTCACTTTCTAATCAGTGACCACATAAACAAAAGTTCAGCACTCCAAACACATAAAAGTAGCCAGTGAATGAAAAATGAGTAAACTGTATGTGGAGCAGGCATTCCTCCCCATGAGCGTTAAAGGGAAGTGCGAACGGGAAATACCAGGGCCAAAGTGCCAAGTGTCCAAAGAGTCGTCACGAAAAACGTGTTCGCTGACAGTTTGCTTCTGTTTATTTGCTCTGTACTTGGCTCGGTTTCTATTTCAGCTGTAAAGAAAGGAAATTTGATGATTTTACAATTAATTTCACTTAATGGATGGCCAACAATGCATCTGTCACTTTTTCCTTTCAAACCATCATTGATATTTAAGGTCTTTTCAGTTTTTTTTTAATGTCATATTGATTTGGAATATGGATGGTATAGAGTTCCTAAGAGACAAAGTCCTGCTGAAAGTTTAATTTATATAGTTTCCATTTATATAGTTTAATTTATATAGTTTCCACATGCTTTGAGCCCTAAGTCCAAATCACATGTGAACACACCCACCCACCCACACACCTACACACACACACACACACACACACACAGAAGCTGGCTCACCGCTTAGTTTTGTCACTCTCTCGTGTTCCTGTTCACCTAGTATTCCTGTCCAGAGATAGGAAGTCAAATCCGCAAAGGTACGGTTCAAAGGGCTCAGTACCTTTCCATTGTCTTTAAAAAATAGTGACCTACTGAATTAGAGCTAAGCAATCAAATTCCATTTTCTCCTTGTTATAATTCTAAAAGCTCCTGTAAGGGGAGCTGTATAGGGAGCGCTGGTTGCACCTTCAGGTTGTGGTAGGAAAGGTTAATGCATGAAAAGCTGAGCTTCCCTGCTCGGAAGCTGAGGAGAATGCTCTGCACCTCCTCGTCCGCGTGCCACGTTGCTCCTGCATTTGGTGGGGTGTGGTCTCTGCTCCCCCGGAACCCGTGGATCACAGGGCCTAGACTGTGGCGGGCCTTTAGCCTAGTAGTCTCTCTACATTGTAAGTGAGCTCTGGAAAAGCTGATTGTATTAATATGAACCAATACTTTGGAATCCGTTTTTTACTTGAGCTTTTCATTCGTGCTATTAGCCACGATCCTTTTAAGAGTTTATCCCATAAACTGGAATCATTTGTAGGAAAATGGAGGCACCCTGGATCGTAATGTTAAGTGAACTAAATCAGACACACGTGCTTAACTGTCACATGGTTTCTCTTATGTAAAAAAACCAAATTACAAATAAAGAGCAAAACAAAAGATAGATAATAGGAAACAGGGACATGGATCTTTTGCAATAAGGAAGGGGTCCAGGAGATGAAGGGAGAGGGAAAGAAGAATTAAGATGTGTTATGCACATGCGCAAACTGCCCAGCATGAATGTCATTAGTATGTACTGCAAACACATGTGTCCCCTACACCTGGGCGAAATGTTGCAAAGAAAAATAGGGAAGCTCATCTATGCGTAAACTGGCACATGCCAAGCCCGTGTTTTTGTGGAGTCGTTCCTTGGTGATCAAGGTCCTATAGGGAAGATTAGCCCCGCTTGACAGCTAAGGCTATTGCTTCTGTAGTCTACCCAAAAGTATTAGGCATCAGGAGAACCACGTTTGGCTGGGTTCTTCCTTAATATGATGAAGCGTTACAGTAACTGCCTATCCGGGGAAGCCGCTGGGGAGGGCACAATGGAGGTAAGTGGGAACTGCCTGTATTTAGGGAACACTTCAGTTGTACTAAATACCAGCCAGTCTGGGGTTCACGGCTCACGTTGTGACTTTCTGTCCTAGGTAATTCCAGTGGAGAAGCTAGTGAAAGGGCGTTTCCAGGACAACCTGGATTTTATTCAGTGGTTTAAGAAATTCTATGATGCGAACTATGACGGGAAGGAGTATGACCCGGTTGAGGCGCGACAAGGCCAAGATGCAATTCCTCCCCCCGACCCTGGCGAACAGATCTTCAACCTGCCCAAGAAGTCACACCACGCAAACTCCCCCACAGCAGGTACGTAACCATGCGGTCGTGGGGTCGCCGTCGGAGAGGTGCTCAGACCCTCCTGCGCTTCACCCGGTGTGTGATTCTGTACACACTCAGTATTTCAGGAACTTGGGTGGTTGTTATTATGGTGTCTGTCTGGCCACAGTTATCTTTCTGTGGTCAGCTTGTCATACATGTGACAGTCTTGATTTAAGCTATTGAAAAGGCAGAGATAGGCATGTTGTCATTAGAGCAGGGTGCTAAAATAATACTCCAGGGATAGACTTCTGTTTCTTTTTTTTTTTTTTCCCAGAGACATTTCATGTAATCTCTATTAATTTTGACCAGAGTATTTCTATAGCTTATTGGCAGGCAGTATAGACCATAATGTGAATTGATCTATGTTGTTACATATGGATCACGTGTACTCCTTCAAAGGAGACTGTACATCCTGCCGTCTGTAGCGGTGGTGCCAGGGTTTATGTGATCATGGGAACAGTAGCTCATTTACTTATTCCCTTCCAAAAGGGAGTCATTGAGATAAATACCTGGAACTTTAAAATATTTTATGCTCTTCTGAATAAAAACCTTTCTAAATGATAAACATCTTCCCATGAAATCAGGCTTTACCAAGTAAAATGTGTGCTTATAAAGTTGGGTCATCATTGGAAATACCCGTTGGGTTGGGGGCATGTAAGCCGTGCTAGCCTCAGAAACCATCTGTGTCCTGCAGAAGTGTGGAAGCCACCGTTCAGACGTGTTCAGCAAGTGACTTACACCTACTCTGCCCATCTTCCATCAGAATAGATCAGAAATTGTTAACAAGTCGTGGTAGTGACAGTTTTGTAGTCATAGTTCTCATTGCTAGGACTTTTTCACCTTTATTTTGGTATTTTTGGATGAGTTCTTACTCATCTGATTAAAACAGAGTGAAAGGAGTAGACCACTCTGGAAGATATTTAGGGGGTAAAATCGACTGAATGTTGGTAATGAACAGACACTGGGTTAAAGGTGAAAGAGAAGGGAGGCACCAAACTGACTTTTCTTTTTTTTCTTTGACTTCTTGCTTTGTCTCACACACCCGGAGGGAAGAGGGTGGTGTTCAGGAAGTCTTGAAAGAAAACGACTTGAGAGGATTAAGTTTTCTTTGAATGAACTGAGTTGAAGAATGTTTTCTAATACCTAAGAAGAGGGCAGGGGAGATACCTCAGTAGAGTAAGCGCCTGCCTGGCAATCTCTGATTCTGGAAAAAA